AGGATAAAAACAGTTTTGTATTCTTGTAATTTAATGACCGTGCATGTGATCCTAATAATAGACATGGTGAATTCCATCTTGGAGAAGTCAAGGCAGCCAAAGAGGATTTGAACGTAGAGCTGGCCCACCAAGAACGGGAAGTGTCAGACTAGCCTTTTCATTCCTCTGAAAAGTAGAAATATGAGGTGCTGTGGGTTCACAAGGAAAAACAAGCTCCCCTGCGCAAGTGGGGAATTGGGGATACAGAAAGCCAGGGCCCTGGAGAGTAAAGTGTGTCAGTGATGGGACTCTACAGGTTATGGCAGTACAGGTAGAAGGGCTAAATCCAGCACTGCCAGGCCCCAGTGAGGTGACTTTTACGCTAAATACAGCCACGTTAAGGGCCACAGTGCAGTTTACAGGCCAGAAAACAGGCCCAGGTTTCTTTTTTTTTTTTTTTTTTTGAGGCAGTCTCGCTCTGTGGCCCAAACTGGAGTGCAGTGGCCAGATCTCAGCTCACTGCAAGCTCCGCCTTTCGGGTTAACGCCATTCCCCTGCCTCAGCCTCCCGAATAGCTGGGACTATAGGCGCCCGCCACCTCACCCGGCTAGTTTTTTGTATTTTTTTTTTTAGTAGAGATGGGGTTTCACCGGGTTAGCCAGGATGGTCTCGATCTCCTGACCTTGTGATCCGCCTGTCTTGGCCTCCCAAAGTGCTGGGATTACAGGCTTGAGCCACCGCTCCCGGCCACAGGCCCAGGTTTCTAATTTCCAATAAGATGAGTATGCATTGCGTTCTTTGTTATCCCAATGGCATCCTGATGTAGCAATGTCCCTACACCTTAGCTAAACCTTCAGTAAAATTAAGTAAGATTTGCCCATATTTCTGGAATTGTGGAAAGATTTTAAATAGCCTGGAAATGAAGGACTTCAGTGCAAATTTATATTAACCCGTTGTTCCATCTAGATCTGCTCCTCGCTTTGTTGCCTGCTGCATGTAATTGCATGGTCTTGCCTTTTTTTTTTTTTTTTTTTTTAATTACAGCGTTCAGGCTTTAGAAAGAAAATGTAATTTTGATACAGTGGATGAATAATTTAATGGTAAATGAAGCAGACTTTTTAATGTTGATGCTGTTAAGGAGAAGGTTAATCATAGAATTCAAGGAGGTGGGAAGACAAGGTTATTCTTTGTTTGGAGGCCAGAGCCGTACCTTATGGTATCCACTGGGCCAGCAGATCAGCCCTCTTATCCTACCCATCGCAGTCTACCTGAGCTGGGAAAGAAGGCTGATGCAGACCTAATTTCCCAGCTCCTGGGTCTGTGCCCTCCTTTGTGGCTGAGTTGACTTGGCTAGGTTTTCCCTCTGAGGTCATCACTTATTTATCCTTCCCTTATAAAATAGACTTTCTAGAGCTGACAGCCACTTGTTTGTTTCATCTTTCCTGAGAACTAAGAGAGGTTCACCCAGCTCAGTTCTTCTCAAAGACACCCCATCTGTACATTGTGCTTATTTTCTCATCCATGAAAAGAGGAAGAGAGAACAGCCGTGGATGTGATGTCAGCATCAAAACTTCCTTGAGGACAGGAGGGATAAATTGGGCAAACGGCTGAGTTCTCCCGCAGCCTTTGGGAGACTGGCCCTGAGAACCCAGAATAGATGCCTATTACATCATGCATGTGCTATGGAAAGGTCTGTGCCAGGCAAACCTGAGAGCCTCATTCTCTATTCCTATGGGGTTCCATGCACCTATCCTGGCTGCCAGGCTCCAACACCCACCATACTTGACCTGTACTGGGCATTTCCCCCTCCCCCTCAGATCCCTCACTCTGTATACAGTGAGTCTACCAGAAATCTTGAATTCCAGATGAGCCAGGTCATGCCATTGTCAGCATAGAAGGCCCTTTGAAGCCCCAAAATGGGTCATTTGCACTCTCTTCTTCTGCCTGCTCCTGTTCCCATGAGTGGTTGGCATGGAAAGGGCCATCAGTAGAACTTGGCTGGCAACATTTGCAGGAGCAGGAATCAAGAGAGGACCCAGGAGAAAGGAATGGAGCCCAGGGGATGAAACATAGTCCAGATTCTTGCTGGTGTGTCCATGTGACTTGGTTTCAGTTCCTCACCATTGTGTCACTGTGGCCTTCTAGAGAAGTCCAAACTGCTGGAAACGGGCAGTGCTTTCTGTGCTAACCCCTTCTGGTCTAACTGCTCAGCTTAGAGGAAGGAAGAAAACACTCAGAATTCTGAGAGCAAAACCTCCAAAAAAATCTACTCAAAGCACCTGAAGTTCATCCCTGGGGAGGAGAAGAAAGGAAGAGCAGATGCCCTGTATCTCCATGGGAGTACTGAGGCACAGAGCTAGGGCCGCCTAACTGTCCAGGGTAGATCTCAGAGGGTGACTCATCTGAATTGCCAATTCCAAGCACCAGAGCAAGGTGCTCCTCAAGAACTGAGTCCGGGTTCATGTCTTCTGGGACCCCTGGCTTCCCTCTTCCCACTTGAGAACTAAAACTGGGTGCTCTGCCTACCCCGCTCACCCCGCCTTCACTTCAGTGCTCTTTCCCCCCATCTGTCATCCTTGGTGACAGAGGTTGCTTTTCAGAATGACCCACATTCCACCACCTTCTCCCCCTCCCTGTGAAGAGCCACATTTACTGGTAGTCCCCTGGCTCATCCTCCCCTGCAGGCGGGGGATGGGGGGCAGGGGATGTGGACAGACCCCTGTTGATGGTGATGTTGGGGACTACCCACAGAACAAAAGGTGCAGCCTCAAGGGCTTGAGCAGGGGATACTGGTGCCTGGGATCAGGTAGCTGGGAAAACAGGGCAGTTACGTAACTGTGTTTACTGTGGCTCAGGTGGCTCTGAGAAGGCAGAGGCAGCCCCCGACAAAGGGCAGTGCCAGAGGTGGGGAAGCGGCGACTCACAGGGAGGGAGGTCCCTCTTAGACAGGGGAGTCGTGCTTGCAAAGGGGAGAGTGCAGTGGGATTTGGAAAGGAAAGGAATCTGTTCTGTTGTTGACAGCCAGCTGGCCAGCCGCCTTATCTAGGACCATCTTCCCAGCCTTAGCCTCTCCCTAACCATGCCAGCTGTGGAGGTAGCAAGGGAAGCTGAGCTAGAGGGAGGCGTCGGGAAATCTGACACCTGGTTCCTGGCTCAATCTCCAAACCTTGCTACTTTTCCCCCCTTAATCTACTTTTCAAAGAGAACGAATTATTCTCTTTAGATAAGGGCAGAAAGGGAGGAATCAGTCAAATTTCCTTATGTTTTCCCTGCTCTGTGACCCTCTGTCTCCCATCCTCTCGGCTGTGAGGCCAGATGGGCAGCACGGAACACGGTGGATTCTGACCTGAGAGAGGTGATAAACCCGGCAGAGCCCAGGCCTAAGCAGACAGGCAGAAATCAAAGCGGCTCAGGAAGAAAGCTCAGGTCTCCCGTAGACCTACCCCGCCTCCTCCTACAAAGCTGTTTACTCAACTCCCGATTCCCATAGAGATGAAACTGGTGGCCAGTCCCCAGCTCCTTGCCCATGGCTGCCACCTCCCTTTGTGAGAAACAGGAAGTGGGGAATTTTGTCAGCTCAGCTGCACCCTCTACACTAAATATTTATCTTGGAGTCCAGGTCAGAGCCCTAGAGAATAAGAGAAGCTTGCTGCTGGTGAGGGGGTATGGCCAGGATTCCTGGAGTCGGAAGAGCTTCAGCTTCACCATCTTGGGAGAAGAAGGAAGAAAGTGAAAGTGATGTGGTCCTTCTTAGTCCCAAGGACCCTGACAGGTGGGAAAAATGCGTGTCTAAGAAAATGGGCACCTATTTTATCCCTGAGGGAGGGAAGAGGCTACCTGGGGTGGGTAAGCAGGTATCTAAGCTTCAGGGGAGGGGCAGTGCACTGCTGCCTCCCTCAAGAAGTGTCCCAGGGTTCCTCCCCTGCTCAGCTGTCCTCCACAGCAGTGCCCCCGAGATCCCCATCTCTCCACCTTCCTGGAGAGGCAGGTTCTTGGAAGGAGTCTTGAAGGTCATCTTGTTCAGCTCCCGCTCAGGGCAACAGTTGCCTTTACATAGATGCCCCAGGATTGGCAGACTCAGAACCCCTGGAATCATGTAGAAATGTTTCCTGGGAAGCCTTGGACTTGCTTCCCTATGATGTGTCCCCCAGTGGTCCCACTGCTGCTGGTGAGGCTGTCTGTGTCTACATGGCAGCCCCGCAGGCACAAGAGGCCAGCAGGCCTATCTGAAGCTTCTCAACCCAAACATCTCCTCCAGCTTTCACGTGTGATGTCGTTTCAAGGCAACTGGGGAGAGCTCCTTTACCTGAAGGAGGGAGAAGATAAGACTAAAGCAGTAATGGTGGGAGGGACTGAAAATCGCTTAGTCTTTTCTCCACTTTCCTTCCAACCTTTGAGTTGAGCGGTGAGTTTGGAAAACACTCCAAAGCTCTTGGTGGCCTCTGGCACCAGTCTGACACCCAGTAGAAATGCAGGAGATGACATTAGTTTTCATAATTTAGCACTGATCATACCCAGCTCCTATCTAAAGTTGATCAGCAACTATTTGCTGGTTGGTTGGTTTGGGGCTTGGGGATCCCTGAGCCAACCCAAGGGCTAGAAAGGATTCCAGAGTGTTTCCAGGCCCGTCAATGTTCCTTACCCACTCCCACTTTCTGAAGCAGGCCCTGTGCCACACAGAGGCTTGGGGCAGAGACAGGGAGAGGGGATGGCCAGAGTGGATGGGGAGCAAAAGGGCCGGGGCTCTAGGGACTCAGCTCAGAGCAGCGAGAACAGCGGAAAAGCAGGCAGATCAAAACACACACAATGTCCGGGAACACCAAGACCCTCCTAATCCCATCCCCGAAAAAGGGACCCCACCCTTATCCTCTCTAGGGGCGCGGCACGCCCAGAGGGGCCGCTCCCTTGGGCTGATTTCCTCCCTGTGCTTGCACGTGTGTGAGCGTCCCCACGTTCGCAGTGCACGCGCGCCTGTTTGTTTGCACACGCCCGGCCGCGCGCCGCCGCAGGCACACCCTCTCCCCCAGCGCCGACGGGCGGCGGGGCCTTCCCCTGGTCAACTCTGCCACTCTGCCCGCCGGGCGTCCTCATCTCGCTCCCGGCCTGCGCCTCCCCCGGCTTGCCCAGTTCACCACTCCTGCCGCCTTGTCCGGGCTCCGCCCGGTTCACCACTCCTGCCCCCTGTCCTGGCTCTGCCGCGCGGCCGCTCGCTTCCCACACTCTGGAAATGTCGCTGGAAACTCTGAGTGGCCCGCGTCGGGCCGCCCGACCCCTCCCAGACGCCAGCCCCGCGGTAGGGGCCGGGATGGCAGCTGGGAAACAAGAGAGAGCTCCCCGGGGACCCTCGGCGGCCCCTCCCGGCGCCGCCTCACCGCCGGCCCGGCCTCCTCTGCAGGGAACCAGTGTCCCCGCGCGCGCCCCGACGGACGGAGGGCACTCGCACGCCCCTCCTCTCCGGCCCAACCCCGGCCCGCAGTCCATATTCGAGACCCAAACTCCGCCCGCCCCGCCGCGCGACTCTCACGGTCCTGCCTCCAGCGCGCGCCCCCTCGGCCTCCCTCTTCCTCCTCGGGCGCCCAGCCTGGCCCGGCCCGTCCTGACCCGGTCACGAGGGCCGCGACGGCCCGCGCTTCTCCCTGCCCTTCTTCCCCGAGCGCCCGCGCCAGGCAGCAGCCGGGCAGGGATGCTCCTGCGCTCCCGGACGGCCTTGGGCCCAGCCACCTGCTCGCCGGGGAAGGTAGGTCCGGGGAAGGAGGGGCGGGGAGTAGGCGAGGCCGCGGGAGGGACCCATGCCCAACCCCAGAGTACCTCACCGAGTTCCTCCCCGGGGTCCGCGTCCCAAACTCTGGGAAGAGGTGGGAAGTACCCCCCATCAGTCCTCATACCAGAAAAAGCGAAATTCAAGAAACCTGTCCTTGTACACGTGGCCTTGTGGCTTAGAAATACCTGGGTAAGCGCTTAGGGCCAGGCCCCCAAGACCAGGGCAGTGTTCAGAGCAGGAAAGCCGGTGTCCGCCCCAGCAGAGCTGCCTCCCCTCTCCCGATCCCGGGACTTCGCCCGCTCCCGGGGCTGGCTGACTGCGTGGAGGGGCGGCCTGAATTCTGGGAGGACCCCTCCGCTCTCTGCTACATGGGGAACCAGTCCCCAGATGCTGCCCTCTTCCTTGGGAGTCCTCCGTAAGTCTCCTGACCAGGCTGCCAAGAGAAGAACTCGGACCACCCTTCCCTGGAGGTTCCCGGGGGGATGTCACAGGGAGCAGGGTTGAGAAGGGGCAGATGGGGGCACCAAGGGTCAGCAACCTCTGACTACAGGTCGTGGGGGACCTCCTGCCCTGCCCATCCTCCAAGAGAGCAGTTCTCACTGAGCACGAGGTGGGCGGGGAGGTCAGGGAAGGAAGGCGCTGTCAGCTGATGGCCCAGGCAGCCGCTGCTGACCGGCAACTTGGCCCGAAGCAGTCAGCTGGGCAAGGAGGGGCGCTGGGCAAGGAGGGGCACTGCGAGGAGCTGGCCTGCTCCAGGCCTCCTGAGCTTCCACCCCACCCTGCCTCAACTTCCCCCCGCAAGGGGAGGTGGAGTGTGGGGACTGGGGTGTGTCTGCATGTTTTGCTTTGGTGGGAGTCCTAATTGGACCCAGCTGGGGAGCTGCTCCTCCTCCAGCCTCAGCCCTCCACTTCCCGCAGTCAGGCATGGGCACAGAAGAGCTGTGTCGCAGCAACTGGAATGTCAAAAGTCCCCACAAACTCAAACCAGAGACAGGGAGCTGCCCCCAGCCTTGGCTGCACCCTCGCCAGCCCTGGGCAGGAGCTGGGTCCAGGGGATGAGTCATCCCAGCCTTATTCTACCTTCATCCCCTCCGGGCCCCCCAAGTCTTACACTGCTCATATGACTGCACCTCCCACCACTGTCCAGCTGACACCCCCCTGTACCCACAACCCCCGTGCAGCTCATGTGGTCTGCCCAGTGGCCCCCCAGAAGTCATATTCACAGCTCTGCACCCAGATTCCCACACACACATACACACACAGCTCCTCCCAATGCATTTGCAGCCCTCCCTGAGAGCCCCCAAGGACCCCACAGTCACAGGCAAATCTGATTCCATCCAGTCCTGGGCAGTGGCAGAGCTTGGCTGTTTCTGGTCCAGTCCCACAGCCAAGATGAGGAGGGATGGACACCACAGCACAGTGCTCTGGGTCAAAACGCGCGCTTGGACACCCCAAACTGGGAGCCCCTTTTTGTCCTCTTGCACCCACCCTTCTGGGCTCCCCTCTTGCCCCTCCATTCCCTGGGTGCCTGGGGCTCCCTTCCCCTTCCCCAGCCTTGGCATGAGGTGGAAGAAGCTGGCTGCGGGCAGGCATGGTGCCGCCAGGGAAGACCCTCCACTCACAAAACAGCCTGGAGTGGCAGGAGAAAGTGGAGCCAGGGTGCGCGTGTATGTGCGTGCACACGTGGCCACATGCAGAACACCCCAGGGCACTCAACACCACCTCTCCATGGGCATAAGCAGGTCCAGCTTTGCCCTCACCCACCGCTTCTCTCTACACCCACCCAGAGCCCTCTGAGTCCTCATTCTGTGAAGGAGGCCAAAGAAGGGCCTGATGCTCCCTGTGACCTCGCAAGAGTGGGTCTTCCTGCCTGGAAATGCCCCCCCGATGCTCCCCGTGGCCCTGTCGGGCTTAAGGCCCTGCTGGCTGCTTCCTAGAGGGCAGTGGGCGGGTGGCTGAGTAATCCCTTGTGCTGCAGGCAAGAGATGCCCACACAGGGCCTGGGGGAGGCAGAGGGAACTGAAACAAAGTCCTGGCCCAGGCCCCTGCTCTGCCAGCTGCCCCAGTTCCCCTGCGCCTTCCCTCCGGGGGAGTGGGGAAGCCGGCTGCACCCGTGCAGGGAGAGCCCCACGGGCTCCTGGCCAGCCCCTCCCCTCCTCCTCACCCAAGCTCCCCCTCCCCCACTCCCACCCAGAGCTCCTGCCCTGGGCCTAACAAGTGGCCCATTGTGCCTCTGGGAGCCGGCAGGCACGGGCAGCCTGCAGGCGGGTGCCTGGTGTGGCCTGTTTCCTGGGTCCTTGAGCTCGCACCCAGCTGATCCTGACCCCCTCCCACAGCCGGCCCCTCCTCCCCTATCCCAGGGTCGAGCCAAGAGGGCATGGGCAGCCCGACCTAGCAGGGCTTTCCGTTCCTTCCTCCTTCCCCACAGAGGACACGCAGAGGAGCAGCTGGCTCGCCCTGAGTCCTCCAACCTTAACCCAAGCATGCAGGGCCCACCCCGCAGCCTTCCCGCTGGGCTCAGCCTGGACGACTTCATCCCTGGCCACCTCCAGTCCCACATAGGGTCTTCCTCCCGGGGGACACGGGTGAGTGAGTCAGTAGGAAGGAGGGTGTCTTGGGGGCCGGGAGTTGGTTGGGACACTAGCTAGTCAGGTGGGGGCAAGAGGATGAAAGGGATGGAGGGAGGGCTGAAGAGAGTTCTAGGGGGCCTCGCTGGTTTCCCACAAAATCGTCAGGTGGCCCTGGGACCGTCACCGAGGAGTATGGGCTGTGCCTAGTAGCCATCCCTCCCTCCCACCCTGCTGGGCCCTGAGCTGCCGCTCCTGGCCCCTCCCCGCAGGTGCCCGTGATCCGGAATGGTGGCTCCAACACCCTTAATTTCCAGTTCCACGACCCCGCGCCCAGGACTGTGTGCAATGGCTGCTACACACCAAGACAAGATGCTTCCCGGCACCCGGGTAGGTCTGCTCAGGAGCCTCATGCCGGAGATGGAAGGTCAGGGCCCTGCCATCTGGCACTGCCTTGTGTGAAGCGAGAGGGGCAGCAGCGGGAGATGGGGTTCTTGAGGCCATGAGGAGGTTCCTCAGAGGCCTCTGGGCTCACTGCAAGCCTCTCCCTGAGGAGCCTGCTGACTCTGCAAGAGACATCATCCGCCTGGGGAAAGCAGGCTGATGCATCCCTTCCCCTGCCCTCCAGCCCGGTGCCAGGGAAAGGAAGTGTGCAGGAGCCCTGGGCGCTGGGGGACCTCCTGCAGGGACTGGGGATGGAAGGGTGGAGGTGATGTGGGTATCTGTTGGCTTGGGAAGGGGTGGAGACTGTCCCATTCAGGCCCAACAGGCTGCCCAGCAGGAGGTTAGAGAGGCAGCTCTAGGTCCCGGTCCAGAGGTCCTGGGAACTCCTGGGTGCAGGCCAGCCCTGAATATGTCTCTCCTAAAGTGACATCTTTTATGCAGCATTCCCCTGAGACAGGTGCTGTGTAAAGGAATTTATTCATTTAACAAACAAGTATCCAGCCTGGGCAACATAGCAAGACCCTGTCTCTGTCAGTCTGGGTGACACAGCAAGACCCTGTCACTTAAAACACACACACACTGGGAGGCCGAGGTGGGTGGATCACCTGAGGTCAGGAGTTCGAGACCAGCCTGGCCAACATGGCAGAACCCCGTCTCTACTAAAAATACAAAAATTAGCTGGATGTGGTGGTGGGCGCCTGAAATCCCAGCTATTTGGGAAGTTGAGGCAGTAGAATCGCTTGAACCTGGGAGGTGGAGGTTGCAGTGAGCTAGGATCATGCCACTGAATTCCAGCCTGGGCAACAAGAGCAAAACTCCATCTCAAAAACAAACAAACCAACCAACCAAAAACACCCACACAATTATGGAACACCCAGAGCATGCTGGCCACTGTAAAAACCCTTTACAAGGCTCACCTCATTTAACCCCTTGATATCCTGACAAAGTAGGGGTGATGGTGACTGATAGCATCCCAGTAAGGAATCCCGCCCACAGAGACGTTCAGCCACCGAGGCTGAGCTGCAATTCACACCCTTGTCCATCTGGTCTCAAAGCCTTTATACTGCTACCCTAGCTACTTAGAGGCTAACAGTTATGGGTAAGTTGAGGACTCAGTCACAACCATGTCTAGGGAATGGGTTTCTGACCTTCACTGAGAGCCTCTCGACTGTGGGTCGGGCACTGTGCTGGGTACAGTCACACACACTAGTTGTCACTGAATCCTTGTCACGATGACCCTTGTTTTGAAGTGGAAACTGAGACACTGCGAGGGTGACTGATGTGCCCCAGGCCTTGGCAGCCAGTAGGTGGCAGAGCTGGGGTCTGAATTCAAGTCTGTCCCCTCCAAGCCCAGCATCTTTACTGCCACACCCCAGCTGGGATGTCCCCTGCATTCTCTACAAGTAATGATTTCCAGACCTTATTCTGAAAGCACTTAGGATGGTCCCAGGAAAGAAGGATGGGGGTAGGGCCAGGCACAGCATTCTCAAAATCCATTTAAATTCACTTAAACAAACAAATGGAGTCATCCACTCAAACAAACGAGGCGCTGTTGAAACTTGGAACTCACAGAGATCCATGCTCTGAGGAGCTAAGGGACACACAGGTTCAGGTGGAGACCACTGCCTTTCACTAACGCGCTCCTGCACGCACCCGACAGACCCCACGTGTTATCAGACCTGGCCAGGCCCTGGGAGCAAGCCCTCTGCAAGCACAAAGATCCCTGCCTCCCAGCATGCCCAGAACTGGTCAGCCACATGGACCAAGGACAGCAAGCGTCGGGACAAGCGCTGGGTCAAGTACGAGGGAATCGGGCCCGTGGATGAGAGCGGAATGCCTATTGCCCCGCGATCCGTGAGTCCAGGGCTGGGGGCCACAGAGAGATGGGGCCCAGGGATCTACAGGAAGTTCGACTTGTGTGCATTAAAGTGGGGGTGGGGCAATAAAGGCCACACCCAAACCATCCCAGACTAAGCAGGGGTTCAACCGTGGTGGGGTTCAGGGGCCATAAACCTCATGAAGCTACGGACACCCTCGTGTGCCTGAGTTGCTCAAGTGGTTTGTGCAGGGTACAGATCTAGAACTCCCATCAGTGTCTCAAAGGTAGAGAACCCCTTCTATAAGGGCTGAGGCTGCGGGCACCCTCTCTTAGTTTCATATCCCCAGGGCCTGTCACCACGCTCATGAAATGGTTGCTGAATGAACGATTGACTGGCCGAATGAATGAGTCTTGTCTGAGAAGATCTCTCACTGTGGCAAGAGTGGAAGGATCTGGGGGTCCAGTTAGGACTGGGGATACACTGCCCTTTTCCATCCATTTTTGTGTCTTGACTCAGCTCCATTTTCTTTCTTTCTTTTTTTTCTGAGACGGAGTCTTGCTCTGTCGCCCAGGCTGGAGTGCATGGCGCAATCTTGGCTCACTGCAAGCTTCGCCTCCCAGGTTCACGCCATTCTCCTGCCTCAGCCTCCCAAGTAGCTGGGACTACAGGCGCACACCACCATGCCCGGCTAATTTTTTGTATTTTTAGTAGAGATGGGGTTTCACCATGTTAGCCAGGATGGTCTCGATCTCCTGAACTTGTGATCCGCCCGCCACAGCCTCCCAAAGTGCTGGGATTACAAGCGTGAGCCACCGCACCCAGTGGCCAGCTCCACTTTCTCATCTAGAAATTGGAGATGGTAACATACCCTTCCTGCCTCCCAGGGCTGTTTTGAGGCTTGAATGAAGCAGGTGATGCAAAACACGCATCTCACTCCTACGTTATTACTGTCAATTTTGGCCCAGGTGCAGTGACTCACGCCTGTAGTTCCAGCACTTTGGGAGGTCAAGGCAGGAGGATCACTTGAAACCAAAAGTTCCAGACCAGCCTGGGCAACATAGTGAGACCCTGTCTCTACAAAAAATAAAATAAAATTAGTTAGGCAAGGTGGTGCACACCTGTAGTTCCAACTACTCAGGAGGCTGAGGCAGGACAATTGCTTGAGCCTAGAAATTGGAGGCTGCAGTGAGCTATGATCATGCCACTTCACTCCAGCCTGTGTGACACAGTGAGACCCTGTCTCCTCCAAAAAGAAAAGTGTTCTTTGTAGAAACACTAGACATAAAGAAAAGCAAAGAGAAAAAATGTAAATTGCCCCAAATCTCATAACATCATTATTGCGTACACTTCGATGGACTTCTTGCCATGTATCTTACTTATATAGGATGTGTTACATGAAGCTATTGTTATTAAAGAGATCACAAGAGAAGCATTCCCCAGCTCGCCTATCGGGGGTTCAGGGGTGGCCAGAGAAAGGACTCACTAGGGGAAAACTTCTGTGGCTTGCTATTGGGAGGGTGAATAAGCAGGGACGACTGACTTTGCATTTTCTGATCCCAGAGTGTTGACAGCCCCAGAGACTGGTACCGGAGAATGTTCCAGCAGATTCACCGGAAAATGCCAGGTAAGATACCCTTCCAGGGTCCTCGCCCTGCCAAAGTGGATTCTGGCCCCTGGGGCTTGGAGAGACAGGGAAAGAAAAGGGGACTTAGCTGCTCAACGGGTTCTTCTCCACCTCCCCCGAGGCTCTAATGAGTAGTCCTGAAAATAGGCTATCCCCTCCCTGTACTCAGAGCCAGCAGTGGTCTCTAGAGCATCCCCAGAAGGACATTGACCAGCCACTGTCCCCCAGTGTCCTCTGAGGGGACTGAGAAACCATTCCTTTCCTGAAGTCCCTCTCTGATTTCCCTGCCAGGCTGGAATGCCACTGTTCATGGTCATTCCCTTACTGGAAGTATTGTTTTCTTCCACAACTCAAAATGCAGCCAACCCCGGGGGTGCCTAGGAGCTGGCTCTGAAGTCACCCATCCATTCAGCGAGTCCTTGACCATCTATTGAGCATGGACCACGTGCTGAGCACTATTCTAGGTGCCAAAGATCAAAGGAAGTCACACATTAAACACACACCTTTGAAATGGCAGATGGTGGAAAGGGCTAGGGAAAAATAAAGCCAGACCAGGGGAGTGCCCCAAGCAGGGAGGCTGCTGCTTCACCCAGGAGGGGCCAGGAAGGCCACTTGTAAGTGGCGTTTGATCAGACCACGGAGGGAGTGAAGGAGTTGGCCTGGCAGAGCTGGGGGGGAGGATTCCAGCAAAGGGAGCTCCGAAGACCCAGGGGTAGAAGCATGTTCTGGACTGGCAAGGAGAGCCTGGCCTGGAGCGAGGAGCATGTGGTGGGAGATGGAGTCAGAGAGGTGGTGGGGTCAGGGCATGTGGGGCCTCGTGGGCCATTACAAGGACTTCAGCTTTTACGGTGCAAATGAGGAGGAGCCACTGAACGGAAGAGTGCCATGCTTTGACAGGTAATGGCTGAAAAGGTTGTGCCTGGCTGAGGGGTGGGGAAGGAGTGGTGGAAGCAGGGTGACCAGTTCCCTTGCCTGGTAAGGGCTAGGGAGTAAAGGCCGCCTTTACAACTTTGCTTTAATCCAGGAGAGAAGTAATCGTGTGTTAGACCAGGGTGGTAGCAGTGGCCCTGGTGGGACAGGGTGAGACTATGAATACATTGCAGTCACTGGAATTTGCTGATGGATTGGACATGGCATGGAAGAGACAGTCAAGGATGGTTTAAACCTCAGCAAGTTGAAGATGGGAGTTGCCATTTGTCAAAACAGGAAAGACTATAGGAGGAGCAGGTTTAAGAGGCATTCACAGGCTGGGCGCGGTGGCTCACGCCTGTAATCCTAGCACTTTGGGAGGTTGAGGTGGGTGGATGGCCTGAGCTCAGGAGTTCGAGACGAGCCTAAGCAACACAGTGAAACCCTGTCTCTACTAAAAAAAACACAAAAAATTAGCTGGGTGTGGCGGCATGCACCTGTAATCCCAGCTACTCGGGAAGCTGAGGCAGGAGAATTGCTTGAACCTGGGAGGCGGAGGTTGCAGTGAGCTGAGACCATGCCACTTCACTCCAGCCTGGGCGACAGAGCAAGACTCTGTCTCGAAAAAAAAGAAAAAAAGAAAAGAGGTGTTCAGTTTTAGACACATGTTCCCTCTGAGTGAAGAGATTGAGTGAGCGGATGAATATCCAAGTCTAGTTCATGGGACAAGTTCTAAAACTGCAGATGGAAATACCTGGGACTCACTCAAAAGAGATTTTGGGACCAGCCTGGCCAACATGGCGAAACCCTGTCTCTATCAAAAATACCAAAATTAGCCGGGAGTGGTGGTGTGCTCCTGTAATCCTAGCCACTCTGGAGGCTAAGGCAGGATAATTGCTTGAACCTGGGAGGCAGAGGTTGCAGTGAGCTGAGATCATCCCACTGCACTCCAGCATGGGCGACTCAGTCTCAAAAAAAATAATAATAAATAAAAAAGAGAGATTTTGATTTAAAGTTTCCCCAGTAACTCTAGTGTGCAGCCAAGATTGTGAATCATGGGACTAGATGGTGTTGTGAAAGCCTTAAGACTAGCTGGGTGCGGTGGCACACAGCTATGGTCTCAGCTATTTGGGACCGAGGAATTCAATTCAATTCCTGGGAGCCCACGAATTCAAGTCCACCTTGGGCAACATAGCATGATCCCATCTCTGGAAAACAACAATCCATAAGACTAGACAAGATCACCTAGGGAGATAGAGAGACAAACAGACCCAGGACTGAGCCCCCACGCACCTGGATGCTTAGAAGTTTGAGAAATGAGGTGGAACCAATAAGGCAACTGAGAAGGTAGAGCCAGGGAGGTAGGAGGAAAACGGAGAGATCTCCCTGGGGCCAAGTGGAAAGGGAATTCCAAAAGGAGAATGTGACCGGTGGTGACAAATGCAACTGATGGGTTGAGTAAGATGAAGACTTAGAATTGACCGTCAGATTTGGCAACGTGGAGGTCACCAGCATCCTTGATAAGAGTGGGTGGATGGGCAGTGGTGAGCAGAAGCCTGTTTAGGGAGACGGGGAGTAGGGGGATTGGAGATGGTGAGGTCTTTATGGTCACTGGTTACAGTTTGCTATGGGGGAAAGCAGACAAATCCAGGAGTCGGAGGAGGGTGTGGGGTCCAGTGAGGGGTGATGTGGCTGGCGTTTAGGCAGGTGCCGTTGTAGCGTGTGTGTGTGTGTGTGTGTGTGTGTGCACGTGCCGTGGGGAGCAGTGGGTCAGTAACTCTTCCCAGGAAGAAATTCCCAGGCACCTTGAGGAGCTAGGAGTGGGTCTGGGCAAATGGGGAAGGAAAGCGTTTGGAAGAGGGTGCAAGTCGAGTTTCCCCAGCCTGAGTGGCGAGGGCAAGTCCACAAAGGTCAGGAGAGGGTGTGTGTGGGAACGGGGAGGGAGGAGCAGGAGGGCTTGGGCAAGGCGGCTGCCCTCTTGGCTCGCTTAGGCCCCAAGCCTGCCAGAGGCATTTCAAGCCCTCCAGAGAGCTGCCCTCCTAATTCCTTCCCTCCCTTGGGACATTCTTCAGGCCCTGACTCAGCCCTCAGCCCCCTGCTCTAGGGATGTTGGGAGCGGCTGTGGTTGCCTCCCAGGGCACCCTGCCCTCGCTTTCTGCCCCGTCCCATGACCTGGTCCCTTTTGCTCCTGCAGACCTGGAGCTGGACTGGACGTTCGAGGAGCCACCCAGAGGTGAGTGGATGCGGGCCCACCTGCCTGCCATAGCTCTGCACCTGTGTCCGTCCCTCCCTGGGGCTGGGACCTGCAGCCCCGCCTGGCTTTGGGGCTCTCCAGTTGGCTCCGTTCAGCTTGAGAGGTTTTTATAACTCATTTCCAGAGCACTTCAAATCCCCCGGTAGGTGGTAGTTAACAGCCTCAGCTTGTACCGGGAATGGGCGCCTTGCCACTCCTTGGCCGGGATTTCTCTGGGCCTCCCTTTCCTCATCTATAAGATGAGATCATCACCTACCCGGAGTTGCTTTGAAGATTTAGTAAACGTTGTAAAACTCTGGGGGCAACGCCCACATTCAGTGTCCCTGAGCACCAACCACCCTGTCCCCACCATCCACCCAGGAGCAAGGGGGTGGTGCTGAAACCCTAAATAATCACCCAGGCACCCTCAGCCCCAGTCCCGGCCTGTCTCTTCCCACCTTCAATGGTTTCTTCGTGTACCTCCTCTGCAGACCCCAGGCATCTAGGAGCCCAGCAAAGACCTGCCCACAGGCCCAGCCCGGCAGCATCTTCCAGTGGGTGAGCACAGTGGGGAGGGGCCGAGGGCTGCGGAGAGGCGCGGCCCGTGAGACCCCCATGGGATGGGCGCCCCCTCGTGGCCACAGCCAGCGCAGCCTCGGAGCAGCAGCCGGCAGTGGGGTCTGACTTTCCTGTCCCTCTGGGCTCTGTCCCATCTCTGGGTCTCCACCACCCCCATAGACTCTCTTCCCTACAGGGCCAAAGGGGACGGGAGGGCAGGAGTGGACCTGGCACCTGCTCCTGGCCAGGAACACCTGTGATGCGTTTGTGGTCAGCAGCAGGAACTCTTGCCCCAAAGATCCCACCAGTCTTGTGAGACAGGGAGCAGGGCGGCCGGGGCAGCCATGGACAGAACTGTTGAGGGGAACTTGGACGTGGGGCTGTCCACTTTGAAACCTGAGAGAAAATGGGATATGGAAGTACCCAAGTTCCCGCCTGATAGCACAGAGAGAGGAGCCCCTTGGAGGGATAAGGATGACATTCCTTTCCTCTGTACAAACCACAGGCCCCGCCGGGCTGCTGGGGCCCTGGCGGGGTCAGCACCACCGTGGGAATCAGGATCTTTGCTCTCAGAGTTAAATCCTTGAGTTTCTTATTCCCTTGCAGGGAGGGACTCATCTCATTAGCATGGCTGAAACTGGCCTGTGGCTCTGGGCAACGCTGATAAGGTTCAGAGGCAAAGGGCTCAAGATTTGGACACTAAGTTCTGGGTTTAAGCCTGTGCACTACCACTAGCCATGTGACTGTGGGCACCTCACTCAATCTGAGCCTCTGTGTCCCCATCTTTTAAGTGGTGATGCCCAGAGGATTCAGTGTGATCATGTATGTATCACGCATCATGTTTTGCACATAGCAAGTCTGCACAACATTAGTAATATACAGGCTTAATTATGATTACAGCTTCCTTAGGTTAGGAATGACACAATCCATTCTCACCGTCACTTTTATTATTACCAAAATCAGAATGGAGTCATAATTACAGCCAACAAATCCCAACCCTTGGTCAGACATTGCATTATTTGATAAGCCGGATGCAGCGGTTCCTCTCGGTGGAAACTTTCAAACAGAGACTGGAACGTTTCATGTAAGCCAGCCAGGAATGGGGCCCTGGAGGGGAGCTAAGGCAGATGTGACCATGCTGTACTGCAGTGGCTGGGGTAGTCTCACAGATGGAGTCACTGAATCCAGCACCCTCATGGAACTAGGCCCAGCGAGCAGAAATAACTTGCCCAGAGCTGCAGGGCAGGGCTGCCTCTGGCTTTCCTTGCCCGTGGGTGTACGATCACTCAGCCACAGCACCCAGAAAGACCAGCTTCTTCAAAGCTAAACAGATGCACATAGCCACAGTCATGGGGCCAGACCAAACACACGTGCAGGATTTAGCAAAATGGCCCGCAGGAGAGGGTCGGGCCACACCTGGAGCAAATATATGTGTGAGGCCTTCTCCCGGGCACCTCACACATGTTCTCTCACCAAATCATTTCTATATTACAGGTTCTGAGCCTGAGGCTCTGAGGGATCAGTAACTTGTTCAAAGGTCACACATCCACTAAACAATGGAGCTAGAATTTAAGCTTGGAGCTCACACACTTCCACAGTTTAACCTTGCTTCCAGAGTAAGGGCAGGGCAGTCAGAGGCAGAGCAGACCCCACAGCAGGGACAAGGGCAGGGCGAGAGGGCTGTGTGCTGGCTTCTGCCTCAGTCTCTCTAAAAGGAAGCTGAAGAGATGTCCTTCCCTTTCTTCAGAAGAAGCTGGGACCACTCTGAAGAGTTACCTAGAAGCACCTTCAGCTACAGACCTGGAGCATTCTCCACTGTGCTGCAGCCCCCAAATCAGGTAGCCCACCCAGCGTGTTCCCTGGTCAGCCCCGGCTGTATGCTGGCCAAGCCCCTGTGCCACGACGTCCTTTCAGCTGGAATCCCTTGGAGGACACCGTGGGCCCACGGGAAGGGCAGGGGCCTGCAAGCCGGCATTTTGAGCCTGGCCAGTGTCCCAGGAGCCCTCTTCACAAGCTGACGCCCACCCACCTCCACACAGGTGCCCAGACGCCGAGAAAAAGGAGACAGTGTCTGGACAGAAGAGTCCTGGAACCAGTTTCTGCAGGAACTAGAGACTGGGCAGAGGGTGAGTGCTGGCTGGCTCTCGGGGTGTGCACGCACCCTCAGCTGATACATTTTGGAAAGTGAGCTCACCTGCTCTGACACACCCTTCCTACCGTTCAGCCCAAGAAACCGCTGGTGGACGACCCTGGTGAGAAGCCCTCCCAGCCCATTGAGGTGAGTGCTGCAGGGTGCTGGGGACAGCAGCCTGATAAACCAGGGAGATTAGGGTTTTGGGGGCCCCAGTGACCACGGGCATAGGCCACGAACTAAGAGCTCTCTCTCCAGTCCCACAGGGTTTATTTCTGTAATGCCAGCACTCGGGACAGTGGCTGGCATACAGGAGGCACTCAGTAAACATGTGTTAAATAAATATATTGGCCAAAGCAGGAGCAGAGAAGGGAGTGGTCAGTGTGCACTGGGATTATCAGGAAATATTCTTGGAGGTGGAGCTGGACCCTTGAGAAGCTCTGAGGGCCTGATCCGGCGGAGACCCATAGCAGAGGCTGGCAGGAAGCAGCGTGAGGGTGGGGGCACCAGTCCCTGGGGTGGCGGGGGAACCTGGATGGGCACAGTGAAGCCAGGCCTTGGAGGGCGGGAGAAGATGGGAGAGGAAATGGGGAGCCCCACTGGTGCTGGAAGAGAGAGATAACTTGGCAGAAACTGGTAGAGCTTCGGAATGGCGGGATCAGGAAGCGCGAAGGCACTCCGGGGGCTTGCAGGGCAGGTGAGAGGCCGCGGCGGCGGGGATGCCCTTTTGGCACCCCGGGCCACACCTCCCGGCAGGAGCCCGGCCCGTGCGCTGAGGCCTGTCCTTACGCCGGCCCAGTGCGCCGGCCTGTCTTCTCACAGCCGACCTTTGACCGCTGCCCCCACCCCCACCGTGCGCTGCCCCTCACTGCCCAGCCTCTCCCCGCCCCCAGGTGCTGCTGGAGAGAGAGCTGGCCAAGCTGAGTGCCGAGCTGGACAAGGACCTACGGGCAATTGAGACCCGACTGCCGTTCCCCAAGGTGCCAGCCCCCTGGGTTCACCCGCGGGGCACGCTGTTGACCGCACGGTCGGGGCGGGCCGGGAGCCTTGGCGGCTGGGCTGGGCGGAGGACGGGCAGACGAGGTCAGGCCTCTGGCGGAGCGCACAGGCCTCGGGCCCTCCTGGGCGCTGGCGGGCTCGCTCCTCCATAAATAAAATACAGGGCATCGACTTTCGCAAGTGACCCCGAGGAGCCTTTCTAAGCGGACTCCACGTCAGCCCGACGCCCGGGCTCCCGCCCCGTCCCGCCCCCGGGCCGCAGCCTCGGGGACCCCCGCCCCTTCCCCTAGTTCCCGCCCCGCTCCGGGATCCGCCGCGCGGGCGCCTCTAGGACCCCGCGTCCCGCCCGCTCTCCTCCCCTCCCGAGCCGCGAACTTTTCCGGAGGCGGCGGCCTCGACTGCCGCTCGGTCCCGGGGTCGCGGGCCCTGATTGCGCCGTCTCCCCGCACAGAGCTCGCCTGCGCCCCGGCGGGTCCCGGAGCAGCGGCCCCCTGCCGGGTGAGTGGGAGACGCGGGAGGAGGAAGGGGGCTGTCCCGGGCCGGGCGGGAGGGAACGTGGCGCGGCCGGGCGGGGCGGACGGGGGCGATCGCGGGGCCCAATCGGGGGAGGAGGGAACCGCAGAGCCCAGTGTCCGGGAGGGACCGCAGCGCCACTCTCTGCGGGACGCCGTTCCCGCGCCAACGAGGGCAGCTAACCCCGAGCGGAGGGCGAGGGTCGCGGCCGCCGGGGACGCGGCGCGGTTGGGGCGGCCCCGCCACGGCCCAGGCACTCCCGCTGGGCCCTGCCGGGCCTCACCCTTCCCGGCTCAGCGACTCGGGAAGTAGGACATCCTGTGGAGAGCCCAGGACCCGGGAGACGCCCTGGGAGGAGGCGGCAGGGATGGGGGCGATGGGGGTCAGAGCGGTCTAGGGGTGACCAAGGTGGGGCGCGGAACCCCAGGCTGGAGGCTCAGTCTCTGTGCCCCGTGCAGCCCGGCCTCAGCCTGGAGCTCCAGCTCCCCGAATGCACCTTACCTGGGTTCCGCCCGGTCCCTGAGCCCCCGCAGAATGGCTGATGGAGGAAGCCCCTTTCTAGGTCGGAGGGACTTTGTCTACCCTTCCTCAACCCGAGGTAAGGACCCAGCCCTGCTCTGTTTCTCTCGGAGTTGCCCACCCACAAGGCATGCTGGTGCCCCAGGGGTGGCAGGTCACAGAGCCCCTTGCTTCTGCCAGTGCCTGCCCTAGGTGGGGGTGCAACCCCATTCCAACCCCATCCGCTGGGTTGGCCTCCCCAAACTGAGGTTGTGCTTCTCCACAGACCCTAGTGCCTCTAACGGAGGGATCAGCCCAGCCAGGAGGGAAGAGAAGAAGGTAAGGAGGGGACCTGGGTGTGGGGAACCTGGAGTGGTCCCAAGGCTACCATCCTGGATCTGCCACCCGCCCAACTGAGGTAGCCCACTTTGTCCTCTCCCCTGCCTAGAGAAAGGCCGCCAGGCTCAAGTTTGACTTCCAGGCGCAGTCCCCCAAGTAAGTGCCCTCCTCCCCCTCCCCTTCCACCCAAGGCAGTCTCTGCCATCCCAGAGCGGGATGGGGAGGGGATTGGGCTGCAGTGGGCATCCCCAAGCTGTGAGAGGAATAAGGTGTACTGGGGAGGGTCTGAAGGGAAGGAGGCTTGGGAGCGCCTCAGCTTACCATGCGGTCGTCACCTGCAGGGAGCTGACTCTGCAGAAGGGTGACATTGTCTACATCCACAAGGAGGTGGACAAAAACTGGCTGGAGGGAGAGCACCATGGCCGCCTAGGCATCTTCCCTGCTAATTATGTGGAGGTGAGCAGGAGGGACAAGAGTAAGCAGGGGTTGGGAGAGACTTAGTGCAAACCTCGGGTTTCCTAAGGCAAAAAACTGTGAGGGGCTGGGCCATGTCTCAGGATTGTCCTTGGCCCCCACAGGGCCTGGCCCAATGCTCTGCATGACCCCAGGAAATGTTTGCTAAATGAGGGTGGAGCCCAGCCAAGGGGAGGACCCAGCAGCCAGCTCCTCAACCTTCCGTGTCCCAGACTTTCACCATTCAGATCCATCTTTCTAAAGCTATCTTTGGGAATCATCCTAATGGCAACTAGCAAGAGTGGGAAGTATGCAACAGTTTATAAATCACATATACACACATAACCTCTTTCAGGTGTATTACTGCCCTGGTTCCTCTCACTGCCCAGAGAGTGATAGTTTATCTCTGTTTTACAGATGGGGATGCCAAGGTTCAGTGACAAGTTATTAGGTAAAAGAGCTAGAATCTGAATCCAGGTCTTTTGATTCCAGAGACAGGTTCTGGGCTTGACAGATAAAGGGCAATAGGTGACTTTTAAGATATGTCAAGTTATCCAAATTACTGGCATAAAGATGTTCATTATAGTCTCTTACTATCGTTTTAATGTCAGTAAAATATGTAGTGATGTCTTCTCTTTGTTTTGTTTTGTTCTGTTTTGTTTTGTTTTGAGAGATGGAGTCTTGCTCTCGCCCAGACTGGAGTGCAGTGGCGGGATCTTGGTGCCCTGCAACCTCCACCTCCTGGGTTCAAGTGATTCTCCTGCCTCAGCTTCCCAAGTAGCTGGGACTACAGGCATGCGCCACCACGCCCAGATAATTTTTGTACTTTTTTTTAGTAGAGATGAGGTTTCACTATATGTTGGCCAGGCTGGTCTCGGACTCCTGATGTCAGGTGTTCCACCCGCCTCAGCCTCCCAAAGTGCTGGGATTACAGGCATGAGCCACCACGCCTGGCCAATATGTTCTCTTGCATTCCTGATGTTGGCAGTTGGTGTCTTCTCTTATTCTGGCTAGAGCTTTATTAATTTACTTGACCTATGGATTTTATTGATGTTTTTCTCTTGTTTTTGTTTTCAATTTCATTGATTTCTGCTTCTTTATTATTTCCTTATTTTTGCTTGCTTTAGGTTTAATTTGTCCTTTTTCTAAGTTTCTTAGGTGAAAGTTTAGACTATTCATTTGAAACTTTTTTTTCCCTAATGTAAGAATGTCAATGCTGTACATTTCCCTCAGAATGCTGCTTTAGCTACATCTCACACATGTTAATTTTTCGTCAACTCTGACTGTTTTCTCATCTCCTTCGAGACTTCCTCTTTGACCCATGGGTTGGGTTGTTGTTTAATTCAGGCTCTTGATTTGATAGATATCATTAGGCCTCCCTTGCCTGCCCAATAATCCACTTGGTCCTGAAATTTCACAAAGTATATACAGTATTTCACTCCACCAGTCATTTCTGTCTTTGTGTGAAATAGTTGATTGGCTGCTTGATTTTTACGGGCAGAGTGAAATAAAGAGAACATGAGGATTCTGGGCTCCTGCTGGGGTAGATGGGGAGGAGGAACCAAGACACTGGAACCCGGGGACACCCGGTTCTCGGCAGTGAGAAAAGGGTGAATCCTCAGTTTTGGAACAGTTCCCCAAGTTCTCCCTGCTGCTTGGAATGCCTCATTGTCTTCTGTGGTCCAACTTAAACTCTCTAATCGGACTGGCTTCCATCTTTTCTCTTGGCATTTTTCATTCAGTAATGCCCACTCCACATACCCCTATGGAAAATGTTTCTTCCAGGGAGCCTTCCCAGACTCCTCCCCATCCTCCAGCTCCCCTTGGCTGTGCACACCCCTGGCAGCCCTCAGGACTTGTTTTTGGTGTTTATATCTTTTCTCTGCCAAGGGGCAGGCCCACTTTCTCTTTGCTGTCTCACAGGAACCCCCAGTCTGTGCTATGTTGATGCCCAGGCCAAATCTTTCTCATGACCTTTCTTCATGCAGGTGCTGCCCGCAGATGAGATCCCCAAGCCCATCAAGCCCCCGACCTACCAGGTGCTGGAATATGGAGAGGCTGTGGCCCAGTACACCTTCAAGGGGGACCTGGAGGTGGAGCTGTCCTTCCGCAAGGTGGGCCAGGCAGGAGATGGTGGGGTGGGTCGGGGCAGGCGAAGATGTAGGTAAATATGTGGACTAAAAACACATTTTTTTTTTTCTTTTTGAGACAGAGTTTCGTTCTGTCGCCAGGCTGGAGTGCAGTGGTGCCATCTCGGCTCACTGCAACCTCTGCCTCCCGGGTTCAAGCAGTTCTTCTGCCTCTGCCTCCAGAGTAGCTGGGACTACAGGCGCCCACCACCACACCCGGCTAATTTTTGTATTTTTAGTAGAGATGGGGTTTCACCGTGTTGGCCAGGATGGTCTCAATCTCTTGACCTCATAATTCACCCACCTTGGCCTCCTAAAGTGTTGGGATTACAGGAGTGAGCCATCGCACCTGGCTTAAAAACACTTTTTTAAAAAAAGAGTCTGATGTACCTAGCTTCACCTAGGATTTCAAAATTTTCCCCAGTCTCTTTCATTATGCTTCCTTTAGTGTAGTCTTTTTTTTTTTTTTTCCTGCATTTTTTTGAGACAGAGTCTCACTGTGTTGCCCGGGCTGGCCTTGAACTCCTGGGCTCAGGCGATCCTCCTGCCCCTGCCCCTATCCCAGCCTCCCAAGTAATTTTGGTCCATTTTTAAAAGATCATCATAAACTTCTAGAGTTATGTATATTTTCAACTGCAGGTTGCAGGGGATCATACTCAGCATTTTTAAAGGTATAGACAGAAACATTAGCGCGCGTCGCGGGCAGGAAGAGCACTTTGTCTTACTGTAGGCGGTTCTGTGTACGCACATATGTATGTATTCTGGCTGTTATTAAAATGTTTTTAACTGTGGACTGTGGTGAAACAAGTTTGAAAAATGCTGTTCTAGAAAGCAGAGACGTGGTCTGCCTTTAGTTGATTTGGGGAGCAGCGACTATGCTTCCAAAATCAGCCAAAGACAGACCATAGTGAATGCTACCCAGAAGAGCTGGCCCCAGGGACAGAGGGGGAAGAAGGTGGCTGGATGGAGAGAGGTGGGGGTAGGAGAGAGCAGGGGAAGGCAAGGGCTGGAGGCCACCCTCCCAGGGAGTGGTCCTACCTAATGTCAGCCAGCCTATGGCCTTGAGGACTCCTTGCCTGTCCTGGGGAGTGTGTTTTTGACACACTCATGACGGTCCCCCAGCGTGAGGCAGGAACAGGACCCAGGCAGGGCAGTAGTGGTAGCACCTGTCCCGTGTGCCTAAGGAGTGGACTGTTGATCTCATTCACACCTCATAGTGACAGTATGGTTATTTTCACTTAACGGAGGAGAAAATAAGGCTCAGAGAGACAGAGCAGCCTGCCTGAGGCCACACAGCTTGACCTGGCGGAGCTGGGTTTGGATCTGCATTATTAGCCACGGGCTCACCTGTGATTGGAGCTCTGGGGAGGGACCTTGCTATGCATCCCAGATAAGGCACCAGGGGTGCATGGCACCAGGAAAGCCCCACAGACACTGACTTTCCCCCCTCAGGGAGAGCACATCTGCCTGATCCGCAAAGTGAATGAGAACTGGTACGAGGGGCGCATCACGGGCACGGGGCGCCAAGGCATATTCCCCGCCAGCTACGTGCAGGTGTCTCGTGAACCCCGGCTCCGGCTCTGTGACGACGGCCCCCAGCTCCCCGCATCGCCCCGCCTGACCGCTGCCGCCCGTTCAGCCCATCACCCCAGCTCCCCCTCAGCCCCGCGCAGCCCAGCTGACCCCACCGACTGGGGAGGGCAGACCTCCCCCCGCCGCACTGGCTTCTCCTTCTCCACCCAGGAGCCTAGACCCCAGACCCAGGTGAGGTAGCCTGCCTCCACCAGAGAGCCCACCTCCTCCCCACCCCCCATCCCCCAGCCCCGTGACTTGTCCACACTTGGGAATCTTTCCCAGACAGCCCTGGGACAGACGAGTGGGGTGACAGGGCAGAAGCTAGTATGGCAGCCCCACCCTGGCCTGGGGAACCTCAGCCTACCGAGCTCTGGCCCAGGGAGCTCTCAATGGAATCCCAAAGCCAGCCTGGGCTCCTGACCCTCGGTGTTCTTGGTTCATCCATCATCTTCCTGCCTCTGACATCCCTTTCTTCCTGTCAATCCTCAGAATCTTGGCACCCCTGGTCCAGCTCTGTCTCACCCTCGAGGTCCCAGCCATCCCCTGGACCTGGGGACCTCTTCTAACGCCTCTCAGATACACTGGACCCCGTGAGTACCATCTGAGGGCTTGATCAGACAGGGGGAGGGGTCACTGGCAGGCAGTACCCCATATTGCACCCTCCCCTAAGTCCCCACCTGTGGATTTGGGAAACATCTACCAGGTAGCCCTTGTCCTCGAAGAGCTTATGGTGATTTGGTGCAGGGAGGAGGCGCTGGTCTGTGATGTTCCCAGTCCCTCCTGGCAGCTGCGTGGCCTTGTGGCCTTGGTCTCCTCATTGGGTTTCTAGCCCTGAGGTCAGTGCATGTAGAATTGAAGTGTGGAACCGGTAGAATGGACAGGAAGGCACCAGGTGCTCAGAGGAGGCGAGGGTTCAGTGGCTTAGGGGCCAGAGGGCAGAAGGCAGGCCTGGGAAAGACTGCACTGAGCACAGGCAGAGTCGCTCCGAAGAGCTGGGGCAGGGGCTAGTGAGAGCATAAAGGGACCCTGGGGCATTCACAGGAAGTGGCAACACTTGGGTTAGAGCCTCTGGGCCCTTTCTCCAGTTGCCATGATGATGCTTCTCATAGGTACCGGGCGATGTACCAGTACAGGCCCCAGAACGAAGACGAGCTGGAGCTGCGCGAGGGGGACAGGGTGGATGTCATGCAGCAGTGCGACGATGGCTGGTTTGTGGGTATGTGGGCAGGCCGGGAGGAGGCATCTCAGGGCCCCAGGGGATGTGGGTAGGCTGCTGCTGCCTGCCAGTGCTACTTCAGCAAAGATTCATGGCCGACCACCCCCAACTCAGCTTCCGACCGGGCTACTGGGGAGGGCCTGGCACCTGATGCTTCCCCAAAGCCAGCACTTCTGTTGGCTGCCTTCCTTCATGCCCTGAAGAGGCCGAGGCCCAGGAGGAAACTGGCACCAGTCCAGGGTCACCGATGGAGTCACCGGGGACCCAGGCCAGGGTTCCTGACCTCCAGAGCCCTGCCCCTTCCTCCTGCACACCCCTGCCTCTGGAGCAGCCCTTGGGGAAAGGACCTGGTGGAAAGGACCAGGACTCACACTTGTGTATCCTCCAACCCCTAGCTGGCTCCTCCAGCCTGGGAGGAAAAGGGAGTGGAGCAAGGTCCCAGCCCCTCAGGGCTGGCCCAAGGGCAGCTCTGACCAAGGACAAATGCAGGAAGCCTCAGGTTGGCCTCGGCCTGAATCAAGGTGACCAACCTACCAGGCTTCACATGGCCTCTTTCCCCAGAGTGGGCTGGCCCTGTGCAGGTCTCATCTTCAGAGGATGGGCTGTCCCCACAGAGAAGAGAGTGGCCAGAAGCCCCCTGCCCCTCCCCAAGTAGGTTTTGAGGCCTGAGGAGCTGGGGGGCTGCTTGGGCAGCCCCTTAACCTGGCAGCCCACCCTTCCTGATCTGATCCCAGTACAGCTGCCAGCCAGTCTCCTGACCCACCCAGGACCGTAAGCACTACCCTGTGAATGGCCCCTACCTTCTGGTGGGGGAGGGAGGGAGGCGGTGCTTAGAGATGTATTCAGATTTACTCGATACACTTTTGCTTTGGAATTTTTTTTTTTTTTTTTTTTTTTTTTGAGACGGAGTCTCGCTCTGTGGCCCAGGCTGGAGTGCAGTGGCCGGATCTCAGCTCACTGCAAGCTCCGCCTCCCGGGTTCCCGCCATTCTCCTGCCTCAGCCTCCCAAGTAGCTGGGACTACAGGCGCCCGCCACCTCGCCCGGCTAGTTTTTTGTCTTTTTAGTAGAGACGGGGTTTCACCGTGTTAGCCAGGATGGTCTCCATCTCCTGACCTCGTGATCCGCCCGTCTCGGCCTCCCAAAGTGCTGGGATTACAGGCGTGAGCCACCGCGCCCGGCCAGCTTTGGAATTTTTTTTACAACTACTAATAAAGTTTTGCAAATCTATGCAGACAAGAAGAAAAAGTACCACTTTTGTGTTATGAGCCACAAGTGCTTTGAGAGGAATGGGTGAGACCTGTGCCCTCTCTCGTATGGCAGCCACCAGCTGCATGCAGCTGTTGAAATGTAGCTCAAATGAAATAAACTAAAAATCCAGTTCCTCAGTTGCATGGGCCAGTCTCAAGTGCCCAACAGCCACACGTGGCGAGTGGTGACCATTTTAGTTAGTGCAGGTCAGGGAAGGCTTCCTGGAGGAAATGAGGGAGCTGGGCCGGGAAGGGCAGGGGAAGGATTTGGGGAGGCCAAGAGGAAAGGGAGGTACTCAGGGCAGAGGATGAGGGTGGGGGTGGGACGAGCATGGGCTGCCCCCAAGGAAGTCAGGGTGCCAGCCTGGAAGGGGAGGCTCAGGATCATCCATTCACCCAAGGTCAGGAGTGACGTTCATTTGAGTTTATATTCCTATTTTTCTATATATAGGAATATAATAATATTTATTACATTTCTGTATTTCTATATTTCTCCATTCCTTCTTCCTCCCAGGCTGGAAGAACCAGCTGGGGGGTGTAGGGATACACAGGTGTGAGCTCTGGGCCTTTCCACCAGGAGCTCTCCCCAAGTGCTGCTCCAGAGGCAGGGGTGTGCAGGGGAAAGGGGCAGGGCTCTGAAGGTCCGCAGCCCTGGCCTGGGTCCACAGTGACTCCATCGGTGACCCTGGGCTGGTGCTGGTTTCCTCCAGGGCGTCACTCTCTTCAGGGCATGAAGGAAGGCAGCCAACAGAAGTGCTGGCTTTGGGGAAGCATTGGGTGCCAGGCCCCCCAGATGCTTTGCCCGCTGGGGTTCCCCCTCCTCCTCTTCAAGACACGAGTTTCTGTGGGGCTGTAGACCAGAGGCCTGGATCTGTGTCCCAAGCTTGCTCCTAAGCATCGGGGTGCTCTCAGGCAATTCATTCAGTCTTCTCTTAGGCCTTCCCACCCACCTCTAAGTGAGGGTGCCGTATTAGACCAGGGACGTTTCTCCCGATTTCAGTTCTATGATTCCTCCTCCTGCGTCCCCACTTTGCGGAGGAGGTGGGGAGTGACTGCGCGCTGTGTACAGTGTGATGCGCCTTTGTTAATTGCTCAGATTCTTTGATTGTTGAGTGTGGGAAGTGTAGCTTTGCCCATCTAAGCTTCTGCCGCTAGGGGGCAGGAAGGAGGAGAGCAAATCCAACTCCCTCCCTGGGCTCCCCTACAGAACTCCCCTACAGTTCTGGGCACTGCCGGCAGGGGGCAGGCCCTCACCCTTGCATCCCTGTTGAAGAAGGGAGCGGGAACGCTCTTCCTGCCTTTCCTCTTTCAGGTGTCTCCCGGAGGACCCAGAAATTCGGAACATTCCCTGGAAATTACGTTGCCCCGGTGTGAGTGGTCTCCATGGCAACTTGGAGCCAGCCAGGATGGGGTGGGGAGCAGTGGCACTCGTGGGAGGGACATGACCCCCGCCCACATCCTCCTTCCCCAGGACCTGAGCTCCCGGCATCTGCAGACGACCCCCACAGCCTTTCCCTCGGACCCCCCTCGAAGCCCCCTGGACTGATTCCCACCCACGACTCACAGACATTCCTCCCACAGCCCTTTCATTTCCTCCCCACCCCACTCCCCAAATACAGAGGTCCGCTTTGAAGTGGAGACCATTTCCAGGCCTTATTGAGACCAGACCCCAAGTCCCCCACCCCCATCCTGCTCCAGCTTTCCTCTAACAGGGACCAGCGCTCCGCTTTGCCCCCAGGGGGTTCCTCTAACCAGGACCAGCTTCCTAGCCTCCTAGAGACCAAAGGCCGCCCCGACTGCTGGGGTTCCTCCCACCACCCCAGCTTGCCGACTGCCCACTTTGCCTTCTTGCCTCCAGCTGGGCGTGGGGGGCGGAGCAAGGCGGGGGACAGCAGCACTTTCTTAGCGATCCAGGCCTGGCAAGAGCTCTGGCCTCAAGGCTACTTCTTCCCAGGGGCTATCAAGTCCTGGGCCTGGCCCTGGAATATCACCCCGCACTGTGGGGCCGGGCACCACTAGCCTGGCTCAAATATTCCCCAGGGAGACTGCTGTGTGCTGCCCACCTGCCTGCTGGCTCTCCCCCAGCCCCACGTCCCCTCTGGAAGAGAATGTAAAATAAACCTGGACACAAGGGACTTTGTCTCTGAGGCCTTTTCCTTGGGGTGGGAGATGCCTTCTCCTGTCTGGGAAGATGGGAATTCCTTCTGCTGGGGGCTGTGCTGGGAGACAGGTGGGACAGGTGTGTGTGTAAGGGGAGGATGGAAAAACACCGTTATTACCTCCAAAGATCTCTGCCTTTGAGTGTCAGGCAGGCTGGGATAGCCCCCACGAATGGGCAGCTGTGTGGCAAGAAGTGCAGGGAGAATGAACAGTGCCAGGCCCTGGTAGCAGGGAGACATCAGAGATGGGGGACTGAATGTGGCCTTGTTTGCAGACTGTTTTGATTCTGGAGCTGCCACCGTGGGGTTGCTGGGCTAGATGACATTTCTAACTGTTCTGCTGTTTTTCTTCTGTGTGTTCCATTTCCACACCGAAGCCCTGTGTGTGTTTATTCTCCTCTTTGGGCTCAGGCTTTTGAGCAGTCCTTTGTGGGAAGCTGGGAGTGGTGAGGCACAGCCAGCCAAAACTACTCTTGAACAAGGGTTTTTGTTTTGTTTTGTTTTGTTTTTGTGAGATGGGGTCTCTTTCTTTCGCCCAGGCTGGAGTGCAGTGGCCCAATCTCGGCTCACTGCAGCCTCTGCCTCCCGGTTTCAAGCAATTTTCCCACCTCAGCCTCCTGAGTAGCTAGGATTACAGGGTTGCAGCACCATGCCCAGCTAATTTTTGTAGTTTTAGTAGAGACAGGGTTTCACCATGTTGGCCAGGCTGGTCTTGAACTCCTGACATTGGGTGATCCACCCACTTCGGCCTCCCAAAGTGCTGGGATTACGCGCATAAGCCACTGCGCCCGACCTTCAACAAGGTTTTATAGTCCTGGAGCTTGGGGGTCCCTGTGGGATGACAGTGGTGGCATAGTCCAGGCAGAGTCCAGCCACTCTGCCAAGAAAGGCAGCTCCGTGTCTCAGCTGCTGCTGAGAGGTGAGCAGGGCACCAGGGCCTCTCCGTGTGTTACCTAACGTGAGACTCACCATGGCAGGTTATGATTCCATTTTACAGAGGGCTCAGAGACCCAGGCTCTGAGAAATTAAGCTTTCTAGGTCACATCATTATTAAATGCTGAAGTCAGGTCTACCTCACTTCCTGAAATATACTAAATGCCCAGGCAGCCCTCATCCAGGGGCCCTTGGAGAAGGAAGGTCATGTGTGAGGTCAGGGACTTCTCTAGGGCGGCCCAGGGTTGGGCCGCTTTTATGTTCTTCCTGGCAATCCTGTCTTCTAGGCCTGTCACCTAAGGCAGGTGTGAAGAGGTGGTGGCTGGAGTGAAAGGTGGTGGTGCCCAGTTCTTCCAGGACAGAGGGGAGGGGTTCGTGGTTGACAGGGCAGTGGCCTAGCCCTGGCTGGTTTCTTGAACCTGGGTGCGGCCTGACCCAGCAGGGGTTAAACAGCAGCTGGAAGAACAAGTCCTCCATCCACCTCCATCCTCACCCTGGTCTGGTTCTAAATGGGCAGGTCCAGCCCATCCTGGCCTGGAAACGACCATTCTTCAGAACCCACTGGCCAGGTTGCCGTTCCCCCATCCCAGCTCTTATTTCATGAACTCCCTGATGCCCTCATAAAACATATCAGGGCTGAGGCCTCCTCTCCCTGGGACAGAGACCAACTCCACACCCTCTCTTTGATGGAGCGCTGGCACCTCTCGCAGCTAACAAATCCTCCAACCCTGGGCTGTCTGCACCACAGTCCTGCCTGAAAGATGCTTCTGTGCCTCAACCTGGCCTGAGTGGGGGGGCAGGGGGTGAAGGGAGGATCAGAGGCTGCTGGGGATGGCTCACCCATGAGAGGGGAGGGTGGTGACGTGGCTTACCCAGGGCCACAGAGAGGCTACGAGCAGGACATGTCCCCTTCTGTGCCAGAGTTGTGCCCTGCCTGCATCCGCTGACTTGTCTTTGTGGTGGGTTTTGTGAATTCACAACCCACCCATCAGAAAGCCCTGCCAGATGAACCTGGGTCTGTTTGTAGAGTCTGTCCAAGGTATGCAGGAGGGGCTCTCTGAGGAAATGATTGGCTTTTGTTTGGTTCACTCTCCATTCCCAGAGGCAAGCATAGTACCTGGCGCTCAGTACTCAGTGGCGCTCAGTACTCACTGGCGCTCAGTACTCACTGAATGAATGCTGTTGGAATGATTGTGTGGAAGAACTGAATGGATGAATTTCCCTTCCTTTGGGTCCCTTCCCAGAAGTCACCTCCCCATTTGAGGCAGGGACTCTGTTTGACACCTCTGTGCCATCCTTGGCTTTTGCCTGTGGCCAAGCAATTTTTACAACAGAAGGGTAAGCAGCACATTATCCCCATTTTCCACATGGGGAAACTGAGGCCTGGAGGAGCTGAGGAAGTTGCTGAAGGTCACACAGCCGGTGAGACGCAGCTGTGCACTTGGGGGCTAGTGTGTGCCCCCGGGGCTGTGCTCACCCTACCTGTAGTTGCCTCTTCCCTCAAGAGGCTTCCAGTCTAGTCAGGGAGGTGGAACAGGTGCAATCAGGCCAGGTGGTCATGCCAGGAGGCTGGAAACCAGCCAGTGGGAGAGGAGTTTGCACACCCAGGACAGAGGCTGTGGGAGGAGGGGGGCTGAAGTGTGAACGCGGGGAGGCTGAGATGAGGGCACGGGCAGGTGAGGGGCGTGGGGAGGCCACTCTTCACAGAGCGAGCGTGGAGGGAATGACTCACACCTGAGGCAGGCAAGGCACAGCTGCACCCACAGGTGTGATCCCCTGAAAACACAGCAGCTTGGCAGCCAGAGACTCAGTGGAGACCCAAGGAGAGGCGGATCTGTGGCCCTGAGGTCCCTGGGGAGAGGGTTGTCAGGTACAGCTCCTCCTCCCTAAGTTGGCACCTGGGTCCCCTCCTTGGCTGCCCTCTCCTCATCCTTACAGCCTGGGCTCCAGATGCTTGAAAGAGGACGGGGGAGGGGGCAGGAAGGGCGGTGAAGGCCTGCAGAGAGGGTGAGGTGAGGGCCGACAGGAACGGGAAGGTACCAGCCTAGGGGTGGGGGTGTCCAGTGAACCCCCAGCCAGGAGGCGCTCTCTCCATCTCCTAGGGCCCCTGCGGGTCCCCTTTCCAGGCAGAGAAGAAGTTCCAGGCAGAGAAGTTCTGCGCTGGCGAGAAACCAGCGCTCAGGAAGGGAGTTGGCGGGAGGAAGGTGGCCTTGGTTTGGGATTTGTGGGTGTCAAGGCCGCATCTGCGCCAGCTTCCGAGCCTGGAGTAGGTGGAGAAGCAGGCGGACCGCAGACGCACCCAGGCAGCCCACCCTGCCCAGGACTTGGGGATGCGGAGCGGGAGAGCGCGGCCGGCGTGGGAAAGCTTTATGTGGCTGCCCCCTCGGCCGTCTGCGAACTGGGGCGCGGGGCCGTCACTGGACCGGCTCCGCTGTGCCCCGGGCGGTCGGGGGTATGCGGGCGCTCCGGGGAGGATGAAGGCGCCACCGGCTGGACGGCCGCAGCCTGCAGGGGACCCTGGGGACAGCCTGCCCCATCCCCCCGGCGGGCTCGGGCCAGGTGGCAGCGCCTGGGCTCGCCGCGCGGAGGCGGCGGCTTCCCGGGCCAGGGGCGGCGGCAGGGGCGGCCCCGGGATCACATGGGCGGAGGCAGGTCCCAGGGCCCCGGGCGGGCTCTCCCCAGAGTCGGGCAGACCGCAGCGGGAGCGGCGGCGTCTCCTCGCCCTCTCTTCCTCCCGGGCCTGGGCGCCCAGCCCAACAGGTGAGCGGCAGCCAGGTGAGCGTGCCCACCTGCGCCCCTCCGAGCGGCCCGCCATCCCCGGCGCCCGGTTCCTCTCCGCGCCCCTCTCGGCGCGGGACCCTGGCCTCGTCCCCGGCCCGGCTCCTTGGAGCCTCGCATCGGCGGGGGCGCCCCCGCGGGTTGCACTCTCCCCGGCCGGCGCGCTCCTCCTCCAGCCCCCGGCCCGCAGGGTACTTTGCCCTCAGAGCGAAGGAGGCACCAGAACTGGGAGAGCCGGGCCATCCAGCTGGGCACCTCCCCGCGGCGCCCGCAGCGCGGAGTCCACTGACCGGCTCAAAGGTCTGGGAATCTCAGGGTGGCCGCCAGTCGCCAGAGCCGGCCTCGGGGACTGGGGTGGCGGCCGTGCGGGGTACAGAGGCCAGGCCTGGGCCCAAGGGGAAGGCAGCCGGGGATGGAGCGGACGGACCGCTGGTGCTCTTGATAGATTCTCGCAGCGCTTGCGTCCCCGGGCAGCCCCAGGATGGGTGCTGGGCAGGGTGGTGCCCAGCCTGGTACCGCGGCTTCCTGCCTGGGTTGGCTCCTGGTTCCAGAGCTAGAGGCTCAGGAAATCCCACAAGGGTCTGTCTGCTGGGGTACTTCCTTGCCCAGCAGAGGGGCTATGGATAGGAGGCCTGTCACCACCGCTGTCTGTCGGGCAGCATCAGGAATCTAGGGTGGGTGTGCCCAGTTTGACAGATGAACCCTGGCCTCCTTGCCCTGGCAGCAGGCCCCTGGGGGAGGTGGGGAGCCTGGTCTTGCCCGTGTGAGCCACTTTGCCAAGAACGAGGTGGGCAGCTAGGAGGCCCCTGTGAAGACCCAGCCTCACCCCACCAGCCCCTCACCTGGCCAGTGACTTACACAGTCTGTACTGGTGCCAGCCTGTTCCTCCTGCTTCCTGAGCCCTCCTCTCCCTAGGCCACTCACCAGCCCTCCCCAAGAGTGGAGAGGAAGTACCGTGTGCTGTGGGTTTTGGGGACAGGAAGCAAGCGCTAGTGGGACTGAGCCCTGATGGTGGAGGAGGGGAGATGGAGGCGGTGCTGGCATCTCCTCCACTTGCCAGCCCTTGCCCCCCATGCTCCAATAAGCCCCCCACCTGGCAGCTGGGCCGCCCCCTCCTGGGAGTCACTCCCAGGGCTGAAGCCTAAGGAAGGGAGAACACAGAGGCATGGCTTCCCAGGGTGGGGGGAAGTGAAACAGGGCTGAGGGAGGGAGTTAACCACTTCCTCTACCCACCCCAAAGACCCTGAGTAGCTGTCCGGGAGCTG